AAGTGAGTTTTGTAAATAAATTATATTTGTGATTGTTTGAGTGCTAATTTACAAGCAAACGACAACTAATACATATATAAATTACCGTTATCTTTACTCAGCTGTTCTAGGTAAGAAAGTATTTATCAACAATAAATGTTTGAACTATCACATACGAATACCTCAAATAAATCATAGCGCCGACAATCAAAGCATAAATCTATATGGTGGCTCATTATCGAATAATTCAGGCATTCTGCCTGATTATTTTATAACTTTAGACCTGCAACTTTCAGAGTTTCTAACTAAAAACAAGCATAACATTACCGATGTATCGTCTTATCCTACAACTGTCATATATAATAATTTTATGATTTTATGCCTAGGTAATTATTTATTAAATTACTTATAATTAAAAGCTCAATAATAAATATTAATTTGAATTTAAATTTAAGGATACTTTAGGGCTGAAAATTCCAATAGACAATCTATCAAACTCTTGACTATACATGAGTTGATGAGTTTGTCACTCCAAGCCCATCTCTGCAACATCATCTGATAATAATCAGAAAAGAACTATAATTGTTATCCCATATTCGGGTCAATTATAATAGTTTTACTTGCAGGTTTCATAGTAATTATATTTTTCAATCGAAGAAGAGGAACAAATAAGAACATTAATACTTTATTACCTACTCAAGTGAATACAGCAATACATAGCAACTGACCGAAATTAATAATCAAAATATCCAACATCCCATGATTTCGCAGGTTCCAAATTATGCTAAAAATCAATTTACTAATATGAGATAGTTATGCTTCTTCTCCAGATTTTAAGCCTAATTCACAATAGCCTTGAATTTATATTACAGTCCCCCGGAAAGTAATGGCCGATTGGCATTTAAATTAACATTAAAAATCACAGAAAATGTTTGCTTCTCTGAAATTTTTATGGTAACTGTAAATCTATCGGCTGAACACCTTTTCATAATACTCTAAAACCAGTTCCTTATAAAGTTTTCGAGATATTAAAGGTTTTGACAAACGGTTTGGTTAGGGGTTGCCACTAAACAAAGCTCAATAATTCGAAAACTACATTATTAATTAGCTTTTGCCCACTAAAAAAATTGTTTCCCCAATTTACATCTAGCTAATTCCAAAAAATCAGCATAAAATACTAATTGTTTCTTAAAATATTTAAAAAAGTAAAAAAATTAATCTTCTTTGAAAATTTCTGAGATATAAATTATTACATTAATATTAAAAAATAGAAAAAATTATATTAAATATTAATATTTCTAGGATCTAAAGTCTTATATATATTATAATAATAACATTTTATATTATGTTATTATGTAAAAATAAAATGATAATAAAAAAACCGCCGGCCATTACTTTTCTGGGGGACTGTATTTAACACAAAACCGTTTCGTTTAATATATCAAAAAAAAACTATTAAACTGTATACTTATATTATTTATTAATGTATAAAGAAATCTTTCATTGGTTGTTTTAATACGAATCTTTAAATAAAATTATATTTCGAGTATTTAGCTATTCATTCTATAGACGTGTATTTTAAGTATTTGATATTTATAATAATATTTACCAATCAAACTGCTATTTCTGACAAGTGTTCGCAACTAATCCAAATTTGCGTATTTCTATAATCATCGGAACGAACTTTTTATGCTTTGTACCTCTGACCAGTGATGGTAAATGACTTTAAATGACCCAAATGACTTCGATGACCAATGACCGGTCATTTTAAAAGGTCAAATGACATAATTGGTCATTTAAAAAGTCAAGTGATCTCACAATCTTCTTTTATCCAATAAAAGTAAAATTAAACTTGTGACGTCATTAAAAAATGACTCACTGAAACTCTATTTGTTGAAAAATAAATCACATGACAAATGATCTAAATGACCGAAATGACTAATGATCTAGGTCATTTCATTTAAGGTCGTTTACAAAATGAGCAAATGACCTGGTCATTTACCATCACTGCCTCTGACAAAGATGGCTCTACTTCCATTAATTGTTTTTTTTCGTCGATGATAAATTAAAAGGTTATTTACATGATATCTCGGGAACCGATGGTTCTATTCAAACAAAATCACCGTTATTTCATTTGCTTTGATATGCTGAATCGAATCGAATGGCGGTAAATCCGTTTGATTTTGACCACTGGTCCCGAGATATCCATCGCAAAACGTTTTTTATATTTCCAGTTCATTTCTAATAAATTTAATGTTTTACGTGATATCTCCGGAACCAGTGATTCGATTTGACATATCAAGACGAATCAAATGACACTAATTTTATTTGTATTGAAACGCTAATTCCCGAGATATAGTGTAAAATCTTTAAATATATTCCGATTTTAAATTAAAAAACTTCGGTTATTTTCCAATTACAAAATTGGAAATAAACCGGAATATAGAAAAATCGCAATATGTTTATAGAAATAAAATAAAAATGTTTAATAGTATAGTGGTGAAAACATGCAACTTTTTGTCTAACTATATATATAATATAGAAGTTCAATTGACGCAAATTATAGATGGCACGCACCATATGATACATAATGTCTTTTTTCAAAGAATTGTACATTATCAAGTTCTTTAATTTGATAAATTTAAACAAACAAGCCTATTTTAAATACTGAAATAATACTTGGATCTGGAAGTTGAAAAGACAAAAAAGAGAGTAAATATGCATATTTGAAAATGTATTTTTTTTAAAAAAGGACATGAGTTGGATAGTATACGTAGCATGTCTGAATCTATGTCCACTCGTAGTGACACAAATCAACAAGGATGTGAAAAAATAAAAAATCTAACTTGGAACACTAATCAAAAAAGTTGGAGCGGAAATTTTACATATAACATTAACTCTCACCCTAATCCTACTCTTAACCCTAATCCTAAAATCAACCTTTAATTATCATATGCTGAGTTGCTGTTATTGTGGGTGGGTAGGCACAGATTTCAGACATGCAATAATATATTATTTCATCTCATTTTTTGATTCGACTTATTGAAATAGTCCAGCAAATTTGATTTTTGCATCCATATAATATTTTAAGTAATAGTTGACTTTCAAAGATTTTTAAAGTGAGAATCTGTTGCTTGTAAATCAAAAATAAGTAATACTTTTTACTTTCTATATTACATTTAAAAGTAAAGATATTTCTTATATCGTCTTTTGTTTCTTAAAACAAGTAAAGTTATAAATTTTTTATTTTTTGAATAAAAAATAAAAATCCAACATAAAATTGTTTTATTATTTCTACTATAACTAGATAATTATTAAATGTATTTTTTATTAAATTGTTTTTTAACTTCTAAAATGTCACTATTCTATTTTTACTTCAAAAACATTAAAATTATTAATAAGTTATACTGTTTTGAAAAGAAATAATTAACAAATATATTTGAAAATAATAATATTAATTTTAAAGTCAATAACTCATTTTATATTAAATTTGATCTTTAATAATTATATATTTTTGTAAGTGAAATTTTTATAAACAAAGTGAAAAATAATATTGTATATTAAATTTTATTATATAAGATATTCAAATATAGTAAAATTATATTTAAATATACTAAATATAGTAAAATTATAGTTATATTTAATTAAATATACTAAGTATAAAATATAATTATATATATAGTTCTAAAAATTATTATTATTTTATTATATAAAAACAAGATATTATAATATTATTATAATATAAAATATTTATTTTTATACTGTCAAATTTCATTTAACTATTATTATATTCAGAATATATTAAGTAAATTTTATATTGCAAGTATATTATTATAATACTTTATTATATAAAAAAAATATATTATTTTCTAAATTAATTTCTAAATACTTGAATTTCTAAATACTTGAATTTCTATAATTTCAATAATTATTTATTTATATTAAAATTTTTAATGGTTAAAATTAGATTGTTTTCTTAAATTAAAATTTTTTAAGTTAAATTAATTAATTATTTTAAATTAAAATTTAATAATTAATCTTAACCTATTTAATTTAATTTATTATAGAAAATAAAAATATTTCTCTCTCTCTAAAAATCGTGAATTTTAAATATTTATATTATAATTCTTGAACTATAAAAATGTTAATGGAAATGTTTAACTAAAAAAATATTTTTATAAATATACGATATGTATTAATATTATAGAAAATAAAAATATTTCTCTCTAAAAATCGTGAATTTTAAATATTTATATTATAATTCTTGAACTATAAAAGTGTTAATGGAAATGTTTAACTATAAAAATATTTTTATAAATATACGATATGTATTAATACTTGGAAAAATAAATATAAATAACTATCAAAGTATTTATTCGGATTTTTTTGTTGATTTGATAACTTTATTATAAAAGTTATAATAAAATTGTATTATTTGTTTAAATTTTTATTTAGACTTGTTCTATAGATTAAATTTATAAATAATCCTCAGAAAACAATACTGTATATTTGTAATATAGATACAAATTTTGTGTATTTTAATTCAATATACAAATTAATTAATTAAATTTTACCTATAAAATGTTTGTAAAAGTTATTTTTTATGTAAGATTAAAATTTATATCTTTTAGAGTTATTTTATATATAAATTTTATTTGAAATTTTTAAATTATATCATAAATCATAAAGCTGTAGCAAATGACATAGCATATCATCTATCAAGTTCTTATAAGTAATATGTTTGATTGCTACTATGATTTAGATGTACAAAACTTTAGGACGAACATAAAGTTTATTCTTTGGAAACGCTTCAATCACGTTACCATAAAGTGCGTCATTTTCAACAGCATATACTAATCATTCATAACAACTTGAATTAAAATAGTGCCAAATTCACTGACATATGTATCAAACTTTTTTGATTTTTGGCGAACGTCTATAGCATTGGGGTATCTTGAATTAATGTATTAGTAATTTGTTTTTTAGGTTTTTGGATATTTGATATATTATAAATAAAGATTTTACCAACATAAAATGGCAAACAGCATTACACAAATATTTTCTTCATCTTTCAATGGCTCTAATACTTGACTAAACGCGATAATCTAAATTTACCAATAATATTTCAATATTTAAAATCTATGCTCTTTTAAGAAATTAATGTTCATTTATTATCATACTGCAGCTTTGGCAGCAGTATATACCGGCATCCGAGGCACGATTAAAGGATACAATCCGGTCACAGAAGCAGTATTAACGACTGCACCACCACCTCGTTTTTTAAATAAGGAATAGCCAATAGTGTTCCTGCGATTACCGCATTAGTGTTAAAACTCATTGTTCTCTTCCAACTTTCTATTTAAATTGAATTCAAATTATTCATTATTTTCTTGCTAAGCATTATAAAACACCTGGTAGAATAAAGAACAGTAATAATGTATGCCAGTCTGTTCAAAAAATTCAGTTTGAGCGATTCCTGCATTATTGGATCTATGTATGTGAATATAATCAAATAATTTGTTCTGAAGAATATTGGCCTAGTACAGCAAAAAAAAGTTTACATCAACACAACCAAATTTCGTCTCAGCAACTTCGAGAAGATTCTCGAGATCTTTATGTTTCGATACATCCGCGTAGCGAATCTAGCATAATTTGGTTTACTGTGCATATAATATCGATATATATTTGTGAATGTTTATTTATATCAAAATTTGATTAAAAAACCCCCTCAAATTCACCTTGCATTTAATTCTGCTTCGATTTGTAGACCAAATTCTTTATTAATATCGACCGAACGACTTTTGTTCTATCATTACCATAAAAATTTAAATAGCAAACTTTTATTGATTAAATATAACACTAATCACGTATAAAAATTTGGATTTTTAAATTCTTTACCCTTTTTCAACAACGAAATAACGAGCTAATGTTTCGCCAAATCCACTTGCGCCACCTGTAATAATAAATACTTTGCCTTTTAAAGTCATAATTCCCTAAGTCCTGAATTTCTAATCGTGTATCGGTATTGTTTGAAGGCGAGAACCCATAATGACGAGATAATCGCTTATATCGATATGTGTTGTTAAACTTTTAATGTTAATAACGATAATGACTCGTTAATCCACAAACCAATCAAATTTAACTTGTAAGTCAAAGTTACGCAAACAAATCAATTTTTAGAGAATTATAATTTATCGCATATGCGATATGTCGCTATGTCCCCATTTACTAAGAGGGTAGGGTTAGGGTTATGGGTCCAAAAAAGTTTAAGGTTATATTTTTGGTCCCCGTTACTATTAAATTTGGGGTCCTGCGATACATCGCTATGACGATAAATTACAAAATTATTGTTATATTGTAAATAAAAGAAACCCAATTTCTCAAGCTATACCTCATTTCTTCGTTTGAAAAACATACAGAAATATAGCTTTTAATAATTATGACATTCTTAATTCTTTAACGGTAGCATAACTAAAGTGGATCAAAAATCGTAATATTATTTAAACCTATATAACTCTCTGAATATTCATTATTAAATCAATATCTTGTATCAATTTATAGCTTTAATTAAGATTTACAACTTAGAACCCTCTCCAAACATTTACTTGAACTCAAACCAGACTTTAATTGGGTTGAATGCTTCGAGCCAGACTTTAGGTCAGGTTCAAGTTCAATTTAAGCTCGAACAAAACCAGACTTAATTCAAAATCCTAAAATAATTGATGACTTTTTTTCGAATGGATTTCTTTTGGAATATTTATCAATACTAAATATCTTGAAAAAAGAAGGTTTGGAAAATGTATAAAGTGTGGATTTGCTATCACAACGATGAAATCATGGAAAATAATGTAAGTTGTGTTGACTCATTATGTACACAAGTCAAAAAAACACTACATATCGATATGTACATGTATAACGATATTAAAACATTATTGTTATCGTTTACGTTTACGGCAATGATGCGCATAATAACGATATCATGTAATAGTAATAATGTTGTACAATTTACAATCAAAGCGATCATCAATACGTACATGTACATGACCTATTACATGTACTATCGATAAAAATAAATACGTAAGTCTCCTGTCGTCGTCGTCGTCGTTATTGGTCTCTATTATATTATAATCAGTATTACACATTGCTTATTATGTTATGATGGAAACCAGCTCTTCGATATTATTCTCTGCCGGTATTTTTTTCATTTTTATCCTTTGTAAAAATATTAATGTTATCATCAAAAAAATACAATGATTTGTAATTGTCGTTATTAGCGTTAGATTCGGTTACAATGATCATCACCGATAAACTAATAAAAATTTTTCACAAGTTCCTCGACACTGGCGAACCTATAAGCAAAATAGTGCAGCAGCTAACAATGCATATTAAAAACGAACAATCGGAATACGAAAGATTTCTGCAAAGTTACACCGCAAGTAGTCAACATATCTCGTTTATCGGCTTTTGTTATCATTATGGAATCAATTGCCAACGTAATGAAAAGCGTGCATTCCAGTGTTATCAAATAGCTGCAGACCAGAAAGAAGTCTATGCTCAATATTTTCTCGGAAAATGTTATCAAAACGGAATCGGAACAACAATTGACTATAATCAGGCCCATTACTGGTTTAGCGAATCCGCGAAAAACAACAACATATGTGGACAAAATGCTCTAGGACGTTGTTACTCATATGCGATTGGGTGCCATAAAAATCATGAAAAAGCATTTGAATGCTATTTCAAATCAGCGATAGGCGGAAACATAATTGCTCAAAACAATCTTGGTTTGAGTTACCAAAATGGCAAGGGAAACAGAATAGATGAAGTAAGAGCATTCCAATGGTATTTAGAATCAGCCGACGGAGGTCATGCAGATGCTCAAAATAATGTCGGAAAATGTTATGAGCAGGGTATAGGAACGAAAATACATCCAGAAAAAGCTTTTTACTGGTATTTCACGGCAGGAAACAAAGGGCATTTAGCTGCTCAATATAATCTCGGAAGGTGTTATACTGATGGCATAGGAGTTGAAATCAATTTTGTTAGAGCATTTGAATGGTATTGCAAATCCGCAGAAGGAGGTTATCCTGAAGCTCAAAATTGGCTTGCCGTCTGCTATGAATACGGAGCTGGAGTTAGAAAAGACGAGAATAAAGCATTCAAATTGTATTTTCAGTCCGCAAATAAAGGTTATCCTGTTGGCCTAAAAAATCTAGCTTTATGCTATGAGGTAGGGACAAACGATCAATATAGCATTTATGTGTCATGAGAGAGTGGAATTGGTCAAATCCTTAATCTATTTCTTTGCTATGGCTAACAGTATGGAACAGGAACATTCAAATCTATTCATGATGCATTAAGAAGTTATTTGGCTGGAGTCAATAAAGGTGATGCAAATTGTAGAAAGAACTTATTTGAATTGTTAGATGGTTTATGAAATGTATGTAAGTTTTATTGAAATTTTTTTATTCTATGATTTATTCGCATTCTTTTTCTGAGTTAATTAGATTTTGATTTGAAACAACCCAATATCACACTTTTAAATTGAAACACTGCTATTTACATCAACTTATTTCAACAAAAATTATCTATATAGAAATCGGCATAAAATTTATGATATATAATTTGCATTTTAGATAAAAATTTTAAAAAATCCCACGCATACTGCTAGATAATAAATAATGTCGTCTTTCCCGAAAATTTTCATTGCTTTATTGTACCGACTCTCATTGTCTAACATGAAAGCTAACCTTAATTAATTCAGGCGGTAATTTTCATTTTGTAATAAAATTAAAACAAGTTTGAAGCAATCTTTTGATAAATCGTGGTGAATACGAGGAGCTGAAAGTTTTGATCGTGCCCCTATACCTCAATGCAGAGCATACTTGTTAGAGTGAAAAAATAATCAAATAATCAAATAATACACGCCTTCTGGTTTAATAATAGAAAGTTTAGTATCTTTTGACTAGACAGTATTGAGAAAGTTAAATTTAAAAAATACAAGTAAACTATTGAAAAATTTCTGATTTTTTACAAACTTCAATGCTATTTATTTAAATCTTCAAATTCATTTAATTATATATTATTAAAAATCTTTCTATCTTGATATACTTTATCAAACACAACTTTTAGCATTAGAATTTTTTGTTACAAATAATTTTGCCGAATTTTTCTTATATTAATTAAAGCTTTTATCTTATTTTAAACTTTCGAAATTTAAAATAAATATTAAATTGTTCTATTTTTCATTATACTTGATTACACTTGGAAATAAATTACTCTAAATTTATAATAAAAATTGCTCAACTATTTATCATATTAAAAAAATATACTCCATTTTCAAATTTATATTAGAAAAAATGTTAAATTTGAAATATGAAAAGTAAGACATTAAATATTTATTAACTAGTATAAGTTTTCAAATCAATTTAAAATTAAATTGTTTTTACTTTTATTAATCAAATTTCAAAAATTAAAAAACACTCGATTAATAGATTATAACTACATGCATATTTGCTAGATAAGTATTATAATATATTTTTCTATATAATTTGGATCTTTTAGAAATAAGCAATTAAACTTATTATTTCTATAAGTAACAATCAACTATTATCATTTTCATAACTAGTAATATCCTAATAGAAATATCCAAAAAAGTAATTAATCTATTAACCAAAAGAAAAATTGATCACAATGAACTAATATTTCACAAACTAATATGCAATGACTTTAGATACATAAAAGATTTAGCTAAATTTCTACATCTTTTAAATATAACAGATTATTATTATATAAAGCAAATGGATTTTTAATTTTACTATTTCATCTAATTATAATATCTCCAATTGATATAATGGAAAACAGATCAGATATTTACAAAAAATGATTTATAAATATGGAAATATATCAGAATCTATTCCAAGTATTATAAAAAATAAAACATATTATCTAGTAACTTAATTATAACTTGAGTTATCACACTCAAAATTATAAATTTTTTTATTATATTCTATATATTGATAAATTTCAAATCAATAGATCTAATCCAAGATATTGATGTATATTATATACTTGATATATATTAATAATTTTTCAAGAATTTCTTTGAGCAAAGATATATTATACTTGATATTTTTAATATTTTTGATTATTTTATTATATAGAACTAGAAATTTAAGACTTTTAATCAATCTTATATCTTACTCAAGTTCATTTTTTAATAAAATTACTCTAATTATACTTATTTAATTTTTAAATATAGATATAAAGATAAATAATTTCAATTTAAAAAATAAATCTATATAATATATATTTAAATTTACCAATTTAATTATATTATATTAGTTATACTATTGCAATTATGTTATAAAATTTGTTAATTCTATAATTTATAATATTTTACAAAATTATAAAAATCATGTAAAGAACTTAAAATATTTTACAATTTCCTTATATATTATTAATTATAATATTCATATACTATTATTTTTCTATCTTGTACTCCTATACTTTTTATACTTTTTCTATCTTGTACTCCTATACTTTTATACTTTTTCTACTTTGTACTATTATACTTTTTATACTTTTTCTATCTTATATTTTTATACTTTTTATATTTTTATATATTTATACTTTTTATACTTTTTATATTTTTATATTTATTTGTTTTGAGTAGATATAATTTGACCAATCAAAATTCTTTGAAATTTATATTTTTTCTCCTTTATTTTTTTACTTTTTATATTTAGTAATTGAAATTTTATTTTTAGTTAGTATAATTATCTTTTATATTTTTTCCTTGTTTTTAATATTATATTTGTATTTTGAAAAAAATATATAAATATGAGTTATAGTTAAGCTTTAATTTAACATGTCAGAATTAAGAATAAATAACATAATAAAACAAATACCTTTTAACATTTAAAATAATTAGTATTCCCCTTTCAAAAGTACATTTCAAATCTTGTGAACAAGTAGCTTTGAGACT